ATACATCCTGTTAGTAAGAGATTACCAAATAATACAGACACCATAAATTACAAATAAAATTACTTTACAGCACTTAAAAGATTAGTCTTGGTCACATTCCTTTTATTATAGGCGAGATTTATGTTGGAATTCGAAACTTAAGCTCTTCAGTGTATTGAGACTCTTACTATGACAATGTCATAGCTTCCCTGTATTATTGAGATGAATGTATTTAGTCTGTTTCACAACCAACGTATGGGTTTTATTGTTGTCACTTGTACACCAAGTTTTAAACCATTTGCAAAATATAAGAATAAAATATATATATATCTGTTAGATTCTTAATTCTAAAGCAGCAACAACAGAAGTGTGGGTCTTACTACAAAGTAAAGATTGTAGGAAGGAAAAATATAAAACTCTTTATGTGGTACTGGTACTAGTAGTATTATGCAAAAGAATATAAAAAAATCACAAACTTTTTCAGTTCAAATTGCTAAGCCTAATTCATGTAAAGACCTTGCACTTGCCACTCGATAGCTCTTAACCCTAACAATTGTGGAACAACTTCTTTTCTAAAAAATATATCTATTTTGAGTTAATTTTTCAATATAATGATTAATATAAACAGATATACCATGCAGCATGACTTAAGCTACTATATATAATACATACATACATCCCATGCAGTTTTTCAAGAAGCAAGTTTTCTAAGGCTTATAGAAAACTACTATTGGCCAATACTAAATACAACCTCTACATAAAACGGCAGTTACTATAAATAAGCACCACCAATATTCATATTGTAAAATCCAGAGAACAACATTTCATCACCTGCTTTGCTTGTCATCCTATGATTTGTCGAAGGCGAAATACAGCGATTGGAATAACATGGTACTGAAATTGACACCTTCGACTAGGATTGGCTAAAAGTTTTATAACTGAGGTTTAAGACGTCCAGATGCTATTTTATAAAGAAAACAGACTAGAAAAAGGTTTAGATACCAATCATAGATGGCAGGACCAGTGCTGAAGTGGAAGGAAAAATTGTTTTTAATTTTGAAAAAGATTTACTTCTTAGAGGGTACTTATTTACAGTCTCAAAGGTATTTTAGGACTCTTTTCATTAAATTCCTTCATTTAATAATATAATTTTGTACATATAAATAAATGTTATGCCACTATTTACAAAAATAAAATCTGAAATCCAATAAAAAGATAAGTTTTCTATAATTTTTTCAATTCACAAATGTGATTTTGCCCTCACGATAAGACAAAAGGGTTAAGAAAGAGTGTGACATAATAAATGAGATAACAGGGAAGCACAATATGCTGAATAATTTGAAAGCATTACAGTAAATAATAAGTACATAGTTTAATGAAGAACCCAAATTACATGTAAATTAATTTAATGAATTTTATATAATTTTGCAAATGAACTTACAAACAGAGATTGTTGTAACAGTCAATCTACCAAGAAACATGGTATAAAACTAAACTACCTGTAAATTCAGTGTATCTAATACAGACTGATAAATATGAAATTAGAAAATTATAAACTTTCTAAAAAAATGGAAAAGCTGCAGAAAAGATGAAATTACAACTGAAATTATTGAAATTAATATTTATCAGTATATAAAAAATTTAAGAAAATTGTTAAAGAATAATTATTAATTACAGAAAAAAACATAGGAGGGTCGAAATTCCCTAGCCTGCTTATATGACATCAAAGAATAGTTATTAATTTATGGGGTAAAAAAAGGATGGGGAGGATCCAGACTCTCCAAATCCCTCCTTTAAATCTGCATTTGCTCACATAACAAAAATGAATATAAATTTATGCTTTATCTAGCATGCAAGTAGCCAGAAAGTTAGCCATGGGTGCTGCCAGCCAGTTGCCTTTTCTCTAGTCAGCAGCTCAAAATGAGTGACAGTGGAAGATAGCCATAGTACAGCTTCTCAATAGCCAAGACAAGGTGAAAAAGTTTAGTGGTAATAGGAATCGAACCAAAGCCCCTCAAAATGTGTCATGTGAACAAGTTCAGTGATGTTAGTATGAGCTATTTAGTAAATCACCTTTTCTTTTGAGTTAACGTTTACTTATTTGTAGTTTAGAGAAATAGCAATGAAAAACCTAAATACTGTTATTTTAAATGTTATTTGTTTATATCTATTTGAGATAATAATTTACACAGTATGCAGTATAAATGTTTACTTTAACCTGTAGAAACCAATGTTATCACTAGTTTGTTGTTTAAATGTTTACTGGTACCTGTGCGAACAATTATTTATCAATAGAAAGTATTTAGTCTAAATAATATGTATGTTATTTATAACCAGCATTATCAGTTAGTATGCAGTCTTCCACTTTACTGATACCTGTAGAAACTAAAGCTGACCTACCTAATACTCTTAGAGGAAATCAATTAATCTGAGAACACATATCTATAAAAAATCTATTATATCAACAGATTGTGTACAATCCAAGTGTAGAATTGAATGATATCACCCTGTAATATGGTTAGGGTTGCCAACTCTTGAAACTTTTGAAGTAGGACTTTTTTTGTAAGGGGCAGTCCATAAAGAACGTCACATGATTTAAGCCATTTTTATCCACCACCCCCTAACCGAAGTAAATAAACACTTCAATAACAGTTGACAGTACAACATAAACACATTTTATCTCTAAGTAGGACTGTCCTACCAAAAGTAAGACAGTTGGCAACTCTAAATATGGTACAGATAGAAACAAGTGATACATTTTTCTGCATTCATAAAACAACAAATGATTCCAACACTTAGTACATGAAGCCTAATTATTGTCCATCTGGTACTTATACAAACTGCTGATATCAATATCACACAGACAAACTGAACTAATAAAGGAGTTATCATGGAATGCTTATAGATCTATTATGTGTGCAAGAAATGTAAAAATGTTTCATCTAGTAATCATTCTTCACCAACCTGATGAATAAAGATGTCTTCTTTGGTGTCAAGTCTTAAAGGAAAAAAATTATTATCAATCTCAAGACTGAAGATAAGATTACTACACATCAAAACATTTTACACCTAATATCTTATGTACATCTTTAATAACAGCATCCATCTTTAACCATACATGTAAGCTGATATAAAACGATTGGGTCATTACATGAGAACATAAAAATACTGCACAAGTATAACTATGCTTCTACATATATGCAGACTTAAAACTTGAGCAAACTTCAAACATTCAGAAATTTGAAATGTAGAGAGAGACTCTGATTTCCTAAAACACTTGTATATATAAGCTTATTTCATTCACTTAGAAACCATGAAGTTAGTCTCCAAAACATGTAACATTCACTTTAAAGAGTAAGTGTTTTTCATTAAATATTTGAGTGTGCAGTTGTTCTCACTCCCAAAACAATATATAT